CCTGGAGGTATGTGCTGCTATTCTATTGCTAAAGTGAAGCAGGTCTGATCTTGTAAATGATCTGGATGAGAGACCATCTGGGAACCATATGTGAATCACTCCAGAGAGTCAGATATTCCTATTTATCATAAAAGCAACAGTAGATTTTATTTCACCTTTTTAACACATCCATGTTAGAACTTCCCCTGCTCTTGCTTTCAGCAATGAATGGGGATACATGGGTGTGAAATACTCTTAAGTAAACTCACAGGGGATACCCATTTTTTAATTTTCCCAGTTGGTGTGTAATGGCAGGCAATTTCCTCACAAGGTAAGAGGCAATGAGGCCGCTTGTAATTGAAATGGAATAAGCCAACTTCAGACCATGATTTATGAAGCTGGTTTCTTTCAGTAAATCACAGTTAAGATTTAGGATAAGGTGAAAAATAATTTTAACCTCTCAGATTTCTGCAGTGCCTCTGCAGTTTTCCAATGAATTCCATGAATTCATGGATTACATCATTAAATCAGTTTCTCGGGAGTTTAGGATGAGACTATCCAGCATATAGCACCATGGAAAAAAATGAATTCATCAAGGCCCAAAACACGACCATGCGAACTCTTGCACCAATCCTAGAAAAAACTTCAGCTTGAAAGATATGCTCAACCCTGGGTCAGCCTTCATTCTCGGTCGGAGTTGTTTCCCTTTTCTGTTATTCCCTCTTCTGTTATTCCGTTAAACTGTTACTTTAAAGATAGAAATTCATATAGTAATAAGGAATGGCCTGTTGTGGAATTCTCTAAGCAATCACACATCTACGCACCCACAAAGTGCTTCTTCACTCCTTCAATTTTTAGATGTGCACCTAAGTGAAGCGTGAAGTATGCAGTGATAAATAAGAAGGGTGTGAGTGTCACTCACATTTTTATGGCATTTTTTCAGAATTCCACTGTCATCACAATCTACAGCTCACCCTTTCCCACACCACCAGAAATTTGGCTGGGATCCTATTAGGGAACAATAGGATAATGGTCCATTATGCTAGCAGTTTCACTTTCTGTGTGTATAACAATGGCAATGGCTTGAATTCATGTCACAAGGGTGACATCTTATTCACAAAGGACTTCAAGTAGGGTAAAGAGATGATTGTTAACCTCTAAGAAATCACATAGACAAAGTGAACAAATGAATGGAGGACTGGACCTAGATAAAACTGAGAAAGCTTGATTCAGTCTCCAGTTAGCTGCCCTTTGGGTCAATTGCTATCTCTTAGAGTTTCCAGTGAGATGAAAACAGGAGAAACTATGTTTTTAAAAGGGTAGACCCCTTTCTTTTTAATAAGGACAGGTAAACTACAGTCATGAGAGCCAGTGTGGTGTAATGGCTTGAGTGTTGGACTATGACTCTAGAGACTAGGGTTCAATTCCCAACTCGGGCATAAAACCCACTGAGTGACCTTTGGCAAGTCACATGCTCTCAGCTGCAGGGGAAGGCAATGGCAAACCTCTTCTGAACAAATCTTGCCAAAAAAAGCCCATGATAGCTTCACCTTAGGGTCACCATAAGTCGGAAACAACTTGAAGGTATATAACACACACACACACAAATTCCAGCTATATAATACCATGAGCTCCTAGGGAAAATGATGACTAAAAAAACCTCTAGGGATGCCTGGTTGGGGCAGGGTGACCACACGCCAGCCGCCGCTATCACACTGTGCGCCCCACCACATGGCGCGCAGCGTCAGGGCACTCCCTTGTCACAATAGAGCCACGGTGGCAATGGTAAGGGCAGCTTTTTGCCACTCCAAAAAGGAGCTGCATTTGCCATATCTTTTTGGAGCAGCAAAGAGCCAGATCGGGGCTGTGCCGTGTGGTTGCCGTGGCCCCAATCCAGCACTCCCAGAGGCTGTTACAGACTCCTTACAGAGTGCTGTTAGGCTCTTACCATATCTCAGTTTAGTATTCCCTCCGACCATCTTAATTTGGGGATAGTCCTGATTAATCCTGCTTTTTCAGCTGCATTTTAAAAATACCAGTATCTTTCTCCTCTTCCCACTTCCCCCCTTTGTCAACTTTGGTCAATTGCTGCAAACTGAGTTCAAAGTGCAAAAGTAATTTTCATTCAAAACTCAGAAGAGAAAGAAGAGGGACAAAATCTTGCCCTTCCCTGTACGCTCAGGTAAAAGCAAACTGCTGTAGCCTTCCCTGGCTTGTGAGTTCTTCTTCACTGATAACTTTTGCTGTCTTGAGCACACTCTGATGTTGTTTCATTATGCATGTCCCAGCTTTCATCTGTGAAATGTTGGGTGGTATGGCTTAAGCCTCTTTAAAAGGTTAATATGGCAATAAAATGGAGCTGGGCACTGTGGGGGGAAGCAGACAGGCGGCCCTGGGCCGCCACGGGAAGCTGCGGATGGGGGCCGAGGTATCCCCACACCTTGGATCCGCGGCGCAGCTTTGCCGCCCCAGGAAGGAG